AATTTTTTGTAGAAGTTGTAATTTTTTATACTTTGGGTTGCGGTAGCAGTTCTTTTTATAAGTTAAGGTATCTGAGAAAACTGTTCATTTGAATTTATGAATGTTAAAATTGTGTTTCATACGAATTCTTCGAAAAAAAATATACCATTCCATTTAAAATAATAAAAGTTGGCATTAACCTCCGGTACAACCGGAAACGGTCGACGCAGTTGAAATTATTTTAGTGGAAAAGATCATCCTCAGTGGCCCCTATTACCAAATTTTCAGATCTCTTACACCCTTAGTTTACCACTCAACATGAAGAATCCTGTATATTATATGTATGAATACAAAATTCCAAGCAAATTCAAAGTATGCAGTTAAGTACAACTTAAGGTGGTCCGGTGGAAACTTCATCAGTAGTTTATAGTAAGAAAAGATCTCTACCGAAGTTAAAATTTAAACGATCCTATTTAAAAAAAAAAAAGGAATGTTCATCAGGTGCACTGCTCAGGACTCATCTTCCACGGTTGGTGGTAATAAATATTCACGGTAAAATAACCGGCACTTTGATAATTTGAAAGATTAACTTTTCAACTTAATTTTTTCAAAAGCGTTTCTGTATTTTCATTAAAGAAAAATAGGGTCTCACGGTTGAATATTAACATACACCTAGTTGCATTCCAGATTAAGCGCAACTGTGACCGCGGTAGTGATAACGATCACGACTACGACAGAAAACACACATACATATATGTGCCACAGCGATCTTGTAATTATCGGCAGATTATTTTTGTTTACTGAAAGTAATTTCTTTTGTTAAAGTGGAAAATCCTGGTTAGAGAATGATGAAGTACCTACTACTGCTCCTTGCAGCAGTATTGGGCAGTGAAGAAAACGCCACATTATTTTTTTAGAACCTTGGAAGGTTAAGTAGAAACAGCTAAAAAACTGTCAAGACAGCTATGTAACACACAAGCTGTAAAAAATATGAATATTTTTGTATATTTTTATCAATTCACAAATACAGTAGAACCTTGATAACTTAACCTCGATAACGTAATAACCTCTATTACTTAAAATAAAAACCCTCTATAACTTAAACGGATAATTTGGGCGTCGCATCTCAGTGAGCAGTGAAAAGTGGTTTGAAGCGGGAGAAAGTCTTCTATGTAAAAGACGAAGAATTGCTGCATTTCCTAATTCAGAAAAATGCTTGTTTACATGCTTTAGACAATGTAGAAATAAAAACATTAGTGTTAGTGGACCTATACTAAAGGAAAAAGCTTAAGAGTTTGCTAAGTCACTGGAAATCCATAATTTTAAAGCTTAAACTTAAACCCTTAGTAAGTAAAAATCTCAATAACTCAAACTATTTTACATTTCTCTTGGTCTTTATCTTATCGAGGTTCTACTGTATTAATTATGACATTTTATTTTTAAATTAGCGTGTATTAATCAAATTGAAGTACTTCACTTTTTTATTTACATTAAAGTTATTGTTTACTAATATTACCAAGTTTTGCTTTTAGGAATTTTAAGGTATAAAGTAGTTTATTTCAAAAATTTTTATTTAGTTGTTGATATTACTAGTCAAAACTCACCCGCGCAATATTAAAAAGAGTTGCTATCGATAGTAGAAGTGTTTAACGTATGTTGTGGGCAAAATCATAAAAATAATAACTAATTTACTGATTTCAAAGAAATTGCGCCCATTCCAAGTACACTTGTATACTTTGCCAAAAAGTCAAAAATACTGCTTACTTAATGCTTTCGTATACCATTTCACAACATTCAATCATAATGCGGGTTCAACTATATGAATCAAATCAAAAAATATAGGAACTATAAAAAATATACCTAAATATTGGCTTGGGAATTTCCACATTCTTTTTCTTCCTCAAAATGAGTAGGCATATTATCAAAATTTAATGCCATTGTTTTTGCCTTGTAATACAAGAAAACACAGAATTGCTATTCATTATTCATATTGTCAAAGTTTTCACTGAATTGTTAAAAAAGCAAAACGGACAATTGTTGATGAAATATTTTTTATTTTTATTACTGTAAATTATAAGGCTGTTTGGTCAATTCCTTTTTTTTTTGTCAAAATTGTGCACGTCTATCTTATTTACCTTACGGATTTATTTAGGGGCTATGATTAGTTGCAATAAAAAAAAACTTGAAACTTTGTCGTTGATAAATCGCATGATTCGTACTATTGGAGCGGTTGTGACTGAACTGTTGTAGGTAATATATCATCGACGCCCAGTAAATGAAGACAGTCAACAGCTGAGCGTATTTTTGAAATTGAACTATATAGTTTTGAATATGTGATTTTTATAATATTCAAAACCTTTTTTTTTTCATTCTATTAATATTTCCCTGTGATTATCCAATGCGTTTGTTGCTGAACTTATGGGGGATTCATTGCTTATGACAATTCAAAAGAACAATAAGGGGGAAGTTTCACTGGTTTTCATTCGGCTTAACTTTGTTTCGGCCCACGCGTCCATTTACAAGAGTAAATACAAAAGATTACTAAAGATTAAACTACTTGAAACTATTTATATAGTAGGGGAGAGTATGGGTTGGTAACTGTGTTTGGTTATTAAAATTACAATCAATAAAATATACTGTCATTTCAAATGGCTGTTCCCCTTTAATTATTGATAAAATGTTAAATAAAAAATTAAAGACAGGTTACGGAATCACTTTTTAATAAAAATCTATTTTTGGCAATATCAAATTTATCAACTATTTTGGTTGAGTTCAAACACATTTTACAAAGAAAATTTTGTTGTAGCATATTAATGAAAGTGACTCAAAACAATCTTAGTAATATTTTATCCAATTACAAAGAGCGTGTCCCTCTAATTAAAAAAGCGGTGCCCATACATTTTTTTTGTAATTCTTGTGATCCTCCACTGTTATATAAATTATGAGATAGTTTAATCTTTATAGTAATCTTTTGTATTTAATCTTGTAAATGGCCGAAATGAATTTGTCGAGTCGAATAAAAGCTTTCAATTTTGATTTTTCTTTTTTAATTGCCATGGAGTTTCACAATAGTTGTATATTAAATAGTTTTTAACTTATTCACTGCTTATATCAGACGACGTCGGACGCAGATTTCCAGCTCACTGTTTGAACATATCCGGTCAAGTGGATGAATGTGTTAAGATTTTGGTAACTTTAGCTGATGTGGCATAATTGACCAATTCACGTTCGAATTCACCTTATTTCTTTAGTTACATGCATCTTTGTTTATTTTGGTAATTTTCTGCTTTAGGGGCCCTTGTCTTGAAATTCTACTAACAAGGAAACTTTCTGAGTGTCTGCCACCGATTTAGTTGCGCTTGTAATATGCTAATCTATAACAAAAATGATAAGACGTACAGGGTGGACAAATTTCGACTTTTTTATAGACAATTCGATAACTACCTATAAGAGATACAAAACAATTCTCTATCTCTTTTTGAAACAAATTGTTTTGTTTTTAAAAATTTCCTATCGTTTTTTATTTTCGAGTTATAAACCAAAGTTGAAAATTTTCGAGTACATGTCCATATCTTGGTTGTAACATTAGAAAAAACAACTTTTACGTTCTTCAGGCACATTTTTGTTGGAAAAAAAAATCTCTTTCGTTATGACACAAACTTGTATTTTTTTTAATGGGAACCATAGTTAGCTGCATTCCATGAATAAGCATTAAATTACGAAAATAATCTTTTGGTAGTTTACCTCTTGCATTTTTTACATTAGTTTCTAAGAAAGAAAACTTAAGCAATCATGGGAGTCATAATCGAACAAAAAACTAGTTTATAATAATAATTAATATAACATCAATTATAGTTTATATTCAAACTGTTTAATAATTCCGAAACGATTTTGGTATTACCTATGAAGATGTGCAAGAATTTGCTATTTGTTTCAGCGAATGGTAATTTTCAATAAACTCCTCGTTTAAGATTTCATACCGTTGGTCATTAAAATGCTCTTGATACAGGTGATAAGTTAAAACACGATTGCCTGCTAGAGTAGATCAACGCAGAAACAAAACTCTCCTTGAGATCTAACGATGAGGGTCACTATCACACCAGTAGTGCTTGTTGTTGCATTACATTATAAAAGAGAGAGAAACTCTACAAACTGTTTAAATAGAGAGAAAGATGCACAGATTTTATAAAGCACCAGCAGTGTTCGCTACTTGCGACGAACCGAGAAAGATAAACAGAGTATCTTTGGTAGGTGTACTGGTTAGTTGATTTACTGCGTTAGTAATAAATAATAAAGTAAAAGATTTATAATTTTGACTTTATAATCCAAAACTGCCAAAATCAAACTGAACCGACCTACATAGGTATATATTTATATGTTGGGCGCAAAAACCGAACCTTCATCTACTTTTGGAGGGTTAAAAGAATGTAGGTAAATAAAACAATCAAACGGAACTCATAGCTAAGAGAAACAATAAAAAACAAATAGGTATACGACAACGACACAGAGAGAGTTGTCTTTTTCTGCCAAAAGCCAACCTGGGCTAAGTTTAGTTAAAGAGTGCTTTCATTATGTTGCGGAAGGAAAATGTATATTCTGAACTCTACAGCATACCTCCTAAAATTTCAAGAAAATTGAAGGTATGTATGCACCTACGATCTTTAAAGATTCTATGAAAACGAAATAGACATTCTCTTTTCGGTTTTGTTTTTTTCCCTCGTTCGCTGAAAGAACTTTCATGCAAAGTTTTAAATCTTTCAAACATACACTTAAAATTTTAAAGTGAGCACGTTGTCGATATTATTTAAAGCTACATCATCTAATAAATGTTGATGTACATAGGTATACAGCTATGAGCATTAGGTAGAAGTTATGTATAAAAGCGACTGGTAGCTACATAAAACCCTAACAAACTATTCGATTGAAAAGAAAATATTATGTACGTTCGGTGGGCAATAAAAAAAAAATGCAAAAATCAACACTTTAACATGCACCAACAATTGCTTTTTGTTTTTACACACCTACTATGTTACTGCTTTCGTCCATTTTCAAAATGTGGACAGCCGTAGCCTTAGAAGTAGTTGCTTCAGATGACCGATATTGTAACCAACACAATCAAAAAACGACAGAGAACGAACAACCTGTATATTTAATTTTTTATGAAGGGAAAAATAAACTGTACACTCATCTTCGAAGAATTTGTATAATATAAAAGTTCGATTGAATCATGAAACTGATAAAAATGATTTGACAGATAAAGTGCCTGATAAATATAATATATGTAGGTTTATTTAGTACCGACCGACGACCATACCTTCTGTTGCATTATGTTGGCTAGTCGAAGTAATTATTCAAAACTACCAAGGTCATATTCACTGTACACACACACTGATTACAACTTCCAGATCACAAATCACTTAACAATAGGAGATGGAGACACAAGTTTATTACGTTTTAATTAATCTCGAAAACTAACGGTGGCGAACTTTTTAATTGAAACAGCAACACCCTTATTCGTAAGAAATAACCGTTGAAATTGATTGTGTAAGTAGCGTTAAGTATTGAGACTTCCCGTGCTACTTTCCCACATATATACACAAATACACTAGACTTGGACTACACCAAGCAATCGCGGCTGGCCCAATAAACAAGCGAATAAACTTGTTTCAAACTAAACGGTAGACTCAGAACGCGAGGTATTTTAAGACACAAGGTTCGCTCATCTTTTCGTGGAACGCGCACGGAAAAACGTAGCGCTATTGGTGTGCTTTCCTACACTTGACCGACGTCATTCAGTCGTAACAAGGCGCTCGTTTCAAATCGAATTAGTTATCTATTAAGAAAACAAATACATAAATAATTTGCCGTAGGCAATACGAAAAGTAAATAGGTACCCATATACAAATAACAAGCTAAACTGGACTGGTCTAATACAATAAATGCTTTTCGCTCATCGTGTCCACTTTCTAATGTACCCTCCTATAAAGTAACTAAACTTTATCGCCAGCACGCAACGTACTTATTGATATGATTTATTTACTCATATTTTCTTTTTTGTAGACAGTGTGTCTCTAAATTACCGTACCTACATTCTTACTACTTCTGAAAATGGTATAAGTATTTCTATCTCGAACAAATCAGTTTTTCTACTTTTGATTCAAGAGATGTTTTTAAATTGTTTTGAAAGCTAGAATGGTCCTGGTCAAACTAGTGTGTCACATATAAAGGTTCAAGAGAATAATTTTTGAAAAAAATATTTTTTTTAGAAAAAAGAATGCAATTTTTAAATACCTACCAATTGCTTCGACTTACTTAGTCGGTTTTCATGAGAACAGACAACGTGTACATTTTCTTTTCGTCGGTACCTTCTCGTTTCGTGACTTAATTAAAAATTACCTTTTCATTTTTTTGACCAATTTCGATGTCGTTTCAAACTCTGAAGATAAATTGCGCCTAATGAGATGTCGTTTCGTATCCTGTGCTATGTATTAGCATACTTACTGCTTAATAGAATCCTGCTGAGAAAAACTCATTTGCAATAATTATAAACAAGTAGTCATGTTCTGTACTTAGTATAAAGACAACAGATAAATGTTAAATGTACCACCTATAATAAAGGTTTTCGTAGGTTGTGGTGAGCAAGGTAATATTTTAAAGTTAGGCCACCTGCAATTATTACTAGTTTCGCGAGGTAATAAGGTAATGTCGTTCTTTCTTTACATCGGTACCCATTCATTACCGTTGTCGTCAACTCAATAGACTAATAGCCCATAGATAAAAGCTATTAACTATAGACTGCCTAACTCTCGTTTACAGCCAGTCACTGTATACTGTGCATATTTGTAAGGTATTTCAATATTTATACTTCCTATCCATGAAGCGATACATTATGAAAATCTCGTGCAATGGCTGGATCCATTATAAATAGCAGAAAAGAGGTATTTTACGTGTTTCTTCGCTTTTTAGCGCGAGTCCACTACAGAGGTGGACCACCTACTTTGATGGTTTCTCTCCCCAAATAATCCCTTCTTCCCCCCCCCCACACACACACAACCCTTTTCCCAACTCAATCCTCTTCCCACTCCCAACCTTTCCATTTCCTTTCCGGGGATGAACAACCTTCGAGTTTATTTCCCCATTCAAGGACAGGTTTTAGTCGGTAAAAATTCGACACTACCTCTCTTCAGGAAGTGTCTTTTGAAGATTTCTCCTCCTCGAAAATAATCTAAACAAAGACAAAATTTACGTGCCTAGTTCTTTTATAAACCATAAGAATATTCTATTGACATATATGGAATACTTATCGGTCTAATTCTTTCGCCACCTTTAGTAGGTAGGTACCTTCGATGTACATTACGTATGTATAATTCTTTTAATATTTCAATTTCACACATCTTATAATTTCCCTATTGATACCCTACCTTAATCTAAATGTAATTATCACTTTTGGAAAAACTAATAGATCTTTAACATTTACATTCTGTAAGCGTTATCTGCTCGCAATAGCAATTTTAGGACTGCCGTTTGCAACTAACAGATTAACTTCTGAAAATTTTTAAAACGACCAGATCGGCCTTGGTAGGATCATGCAAAGCTCCATTCGATTAGCTGCCAATTAATAGCATCCGTATTGTATTTGTTTCGTGTTTATTTATGTACTTATGCGTTATTTGTTGTTTGTTAGATTAGATTAAGTGTGATTAACGATGTTTTGTAAGTACTAGCCCAGACCCCAGACTATTTCTTTGTTTTTATCGTTATAAGGTTGTATGTAGTTAGTTGAAATCATTTTTATTATGTTAGTGTCGTAGGTCAGTATATAATACTATTACTGAATTGACCAATGTGTGAGTTTCTAGATGAACTGTTTCGTGGATGCTGGATTGGACATACAGATCCTTGTTCGGTGCGTAGTCCTAATCTAAATCCACTTGATTTCTTCTTATAAAAGAGCGCGTGTATAAAACGTCAGTGCAGAACAAAAATAATTTGCACGATCGTGTATGTTCGCTACAAATGAAGTATAAGAAATATAGTGTTAATTTTTTTAATGGGAAAATAGGGTTACTGGCAAATCACTGACAAAAAAAGGTAATGCACTTTGGCAGTACCGCAATTGTACAAAGGAGGACGGAAAAGGGCGGAAACACTATGAGGGAAGATCAATTTGGGTTTAGACGTAATAGAGGAACGCGGGAGGCCATTCTAGTTTTACGGGTAACAATAGAGAAAACGACAGAAAAAGGAAAGAGTGCTTACATAGGATTTATAGATTTAGAAAGAGCTTTCGACAAAGTTAAATGGAACAAGATGTTACATATACTTAAAAATGCAGGGATGATTTATAAAGATAGAAGAGTGATACTTACATTGTATAAAGAACAACAGGCTGTTATAGAGATAGGGCTGCAACGTAGAGAAGTAAATATTAGGAAGGTAGTCAGACAGGGGTGCACACTGTCACCGCTACTTTTTGAACTATATATCAAAGACTCGATTAACATCATTAAAGACAGTACAACTGTAATGATATATATACAGGGGCAAAAAATTAATATGCTTACATTTGCAAATAATGTAGCAGTATTAGCATCTAGCAAGGAGGAGTTGGAGATAGCTTAAAATAAAATAGAAGTGGTATTGACAAAATAGTACTGAATGATTTTAGTTATCTAGGAAATCAGATATCAGGACGGAAGGAGTAGCAGGGATATAAAGCAGAGGATAGCGCAGGGTCGAGTCGCCTTCAATAAAAAGAAGTCACTTGTAGGCTCGCAAACTGTTTATTTTACTTCAGTTGACTCTAGTTTTCCATAAATCTGATATTGACCTACATTTGGGTCATCCTAAATCTGGGAGTATGTTCGCATCTGGACGCCCTGAAGTTCTGTAGATGCTTTGTACAAATATGAGACACATACCGGCAGGTGAGGAAAAGTTGATAATTTTAGCAAAAATATAATGTTTACTAGCACATTATATTCTAAAAATATTGAAAGAAAAATTATTCTATCATTCAATTCTTTCTGAAATTTTCTATTTTCTTTTCTGATTTTTCGATAAAATATATGTACCCTAAAGGACAACCGAGTAATTAATAGGTCAAACATTTTAATAATAAAATCAATCCGTCATAACAGTAAGCAGAAGAGAAAACGAGTACAGAAATTAGTTTCATTTTTAATTGTTAATTATTCAATGCTAAATGATTGTTTTCCTTGTAATATTGTAAGATCATGCGTTCTTATCAATTTTTGTTAAAATTTCGTAGATATACGTCGACTACGAATATATACTACGAATCATTCCTCTATTTTGCATTTCTCGTTAAACCTATCACAATTATGCAACTTTTCGAGATACGAGTTTGTTCATTAAAAACAAATAATATGCTTTGTAGACCTATCTTAAAAAAGGTTATCATTTCATTTAAAATACGTAGGTATACAGTATGTAGATTAAACTAACCTAAATGTATCGGATAACGTCTGTTAGAAGTAAAACTTATACANATTTAGTTTAAAATCAAAAACAAGTTCAAGACAGGAACTAGTTCAATAGGTAAGCGACCGTTTCCGAAGAGAGATTTCAGAAGGATTTCGGCCTATTTTGAATAATCGTTACATAACTGTTATAGCAGAGATAGTATTTTCACAACAGTTTATGACAGCCAAATATGTGACCCGAATTGTTCACCCCTCATAAGTAGCCCCCCTTGGCGCCTCCTTGCTGATTTGGCATGGTCTTTATCTGTCATACAATTCAAACCTAAGAACGAAATGCTCACATATATGTTAAACTGCATCCTTCGGGAATACTAAATGCCGTGTGTGCGTCAACGGTACCGTCCAGATTCGTCACCGATCGGACAAGTTCGTAGCCTACACAACCTCATGAAAATTTTACCAATAACCACTACTACTACCTTGCTAAGACACAGTCGTTCTGTTTCGTTAACCGCTTTGTTTTTGTTAATAAAGTTGAATCAGTGATTGTTCAAGTTTGATTTAAGATCAGGAGTAGGATTTATTCCCTTGGTGATAAACACTATCAAATTGATCAATTTAAGAAAGTAGAAAAACGATAGATGACTGAAAAATCGACAATGGTACTCGATATTGTCGAGTTCGGACTTGTGATAGAAGATCCTGAGAAAGAAAGCCCACCAACAGTCCCCCTTCACGAATAAGGCTAAACCAGAGTGGCAAGAAACATTGAATCCCTTATTGCAGCATAGCAAGAACAATTAAAGGTGCTGGCTTCCATTTTGTCTAACAACACTTCAACCTTTACATTATTGACACCGGGTCTGAGGCGTCAATTTTAACTGAAAATGCCGGCAAGAAACTCGGCGTAACAATCAAACCAAATAAACATCCTCTATATGGACTTGGTTCGAGACGTGTTTATAGCATTGGAATTAGCGAAGTCATTGCTGTTTTACCAATTATAACATTGAAGATTTTGTTTACTGTAGTACCAAATGACGTAATTCCCGGGACTGTTTATGCCTTGATAGTATGGGACGTTATTAATCGGAAGCAAATAAGATTCTAAAAGGTATAAATGACCTTGAATTACACCAACAGTAGCAGGACTGGACGAGTGATATGTTATTAAACTGCACCAGCTGCTATGGATATACCACCATGCGACTCCTAACCATGTTTTGCCAGGGAAACTTCAAATACGACTTAACGATAGCACTCCCGTTGCTTGTCGACCTCGTCGTCTGGCATACACTGAAAGAACGAAGCT